GCGAACGGCCCGGCGGGTCCTCGCCACTATCGGTCTCCACGAAGCGGGGGGAAATGGCTCTCGATTTTATCGCGGATGAGTCAGTCCTGCCTCCGACCAGGGACAAGACTGCCAGTTGTTCTCAGGGCCCGTAATTACTTTCCCTTCGTACTATTATTTTGAGCTGGAATCTCAACAGTCTGACTAATGATGCCATGAAATAATTTTTTTCTAATTAGAGGGCATTTGTTCTTAACGGGATTCCAATTCCAATTCTCATTAGGGGGAAATCTGCTCTGTGTGTACTAAGAACATATTTAGTCCTCTCCACAGCTCTGTAAAAGCTTTCCACGATCAACCTAATGATCATTACGACCCTCAGCACGGTGAAGGCTGGTTGCAAAATTATTTTAGAACTGAGTTATTCAACGGCATACGCAAAATTAACTTCAACCTAGAGAGCCTAACCCCAAACAATTAAAAATGCACCCGATTTCTGCTTGGGTTAACCTGCTAGGAGTTAGCACTGGTTGTCTAGGAAGAAGTCCCTTGCAGCCAAGACACAATATCATACCAGCTAGCGCGCTGCTCTCCCAGCAACAGGTCTGGCTCCATCATATTATTCCACAACCACCAAAAAAGCAAGGATTAGACTCGTCACAGGGCAAACAGAAAGGCAAGGAGAGCAGAAGGTGAGTGTGTTGGTCCTCCTTTTCTAGGAGGGAAAGGCTCTTGGCGCAAATCTGTGGATACAAGGCTCAGAAACTAGACCAAAGAGAGGAAAAAAACAGCACGAAACACCCAGCACCTTCACATGCACCAATACATGTAGGGTCAGGGCTGCTCGAGATATGCTTTTCTACGTGGATAAGAAGGCGTGAGGCAATCTGGCTGTTCTCCCAAAATCTCCTACCACTCATTTTTCTTCTTTTGAAGACGCACAAGGGTCCTGATCCTCTACCCCTGCCCAGCACTACAAAACAGCATGGTGTTTTGGTGAGGGGACAAAATATTGTGCTGCGACCTTCCTATCTCCTCTACCCAAGACCAAATCCGCTTTGATTCTCCTGAGCCTCAGCCCAGAGACTTCCCACCCCAGAGATTAATCCAAAACACCGCTCTGCCTCGCGTTTTCTGAAAGCGTCTCTCAGGGTCACCATTACCTAAGTTTACGAGCAATCTTTGCTGGCTTCATCTCGGCCGCAAAATAAGTACAGCAAAATTTGCAGCAGCATGATTAGCTTCCCAGGGTGGCCCGTCCAAAGCGGAGAGCCAAGGATTAAAGAGACCTCACCGCTCCAAGCCAGCAGGCCACGGCTGACAAAAGCATAGGAAAGGATCATCTCCTAAGCGACTACAGAAATAGGAAGAGCAAGGACTCAGCAAGGGGTCAGCATTTTGCAGCACGCACAATCCGCATCCAGCTACAAGCACGGCCTTTCGCGCCCCGGAGCGAAATACGCAGCACCAAAGCATTCGGCACGCCGGCGGACGCCAGTAAAGCTGCGCTTCCCATCGCAAGCGAGGCCGCCGCTCCGCCAGCAACGTTCGGACGGGGCAGCCTCGAGCCTAAGCGGAGATATTGATGTCTAATGAGCTCACCCGCTGGGGTCCGGGGTGTCAAGCAGATGCAGAAGCTGTTTTCAGACCATTTATCACCTTCTGGTAGCTCTCAATAAAAAGTAAGTCTCCCTGAGTTTGGTCTGCAGGATGAACGTCAGCTTCTGGCAGGATTAGGGCAGACGGGTGAGGGCAATGGGCCATTTCAAATAATCGGGCGCTTTGAGGGGTTTCCCAGATTTGTGACAGAGGAATCCATCTCACCAACACAGTCATCCCAGTAGAGGTAGGGAACTATTCCCCGACTTGCACCGATTATCTCCCGTCAACTTAAACACCCCGTAAGTTTCCTTCTAAACTTCAGAAAACACATTTTGGTATTTTCAGAAAACACATTTTGGTATTTTCATCTTGTATTTCTGCAAGGAAGAACACCACATTGAAGAGGTTTTTCATCTGGAGCCAGGAGAAAGGAAGCTCAGCAGAAAGGAACCTTTTGCTTGAGATGTTAAATGAGCATTTCCCATCGCAGCAAAGTCTTGGCAGCGCTGGTTTAAGACACTGACATGTTAGTCCTGGGCTCCCAGGCCAGTTTGGTGTCACCATCGTAACCTGCCCGCCAACTCCGAGAAGGACGATCCCATCACCAGGAGTCACTGCAGCCTCTTTATAAAAATATTTGCAGCAGAAGCAGCTATCAGAAATGCACGAGAAAGAGGAAAATAACTGGGCGAGCAAGGCAGGGTCCCGGCTCAGCATGGTACGTTTCTGCACAAATTCACAGCGTTTCCCTTCACTTACACGTCCGCTGCCACCAAGGAAAAAGGAGCAGATCCCGCGGTGGTTAACAGGGGACTACACATCCGCGCAGGTATCGCAGCGGGTCCCTCCACGGGGAGCGTTCACAGCAGCCTGCGTTTCCCAAGGGTTGACAACTAAAGAACGCTTTTCCCAGAGGGGGGGATCACACCGCGGTCCAACTTAATGTTTCCTGACATTTCCGCGAGAAAGACGAATGTGCCGCTTCATCACACAGGAAAAGCTGTTAGCGCTCAGAGAGTGACGAGCCCTTCCTGAAAGGCTGCTCCTCCAAACCTGCACGGGATGAAAGGCAAACAGCAGCTCTCTGGCTGTCAATCAACCCGAAGAAACCATTAAGCAATTAGAAAGTTCACCGGGAAGGCAAAGGAAACACAAAACCGGGAGGTTCGGCTAGTGTTATGGGTTCAAAATTTGGAGATACGAAGGGTACGGCGCGTTTTCCCTGGCGAAAACGATGCATCACTGCAGGGTTAAAAAGAAAAAAAAAAAATTGACGGCCCTCCCAGGGGAAGCAAAAAGTCTTACCTCCCCCGTTAAGCACTGCCAGGCGCCAAGAGCCCCGTTTCGCAGGCCGGGGAGTCCGGCACGTCCCAGAGGCACGACGGCAGTCAGGTCCAGGACCAGCCTCGGGCGAAGGCAGCTCCTTGCAAGCGAGCGAGCCCACTGCTGCCACGTCTCGAATTAATCTCGCTCGTAATTAGACTTGATCAATTAACTTTTGCCCCTAATAAAGGAATCTCAGCATGGGGAGTTAAATAAATGGGGTGGGGGGAGAAGAGGAGGAAGCCCGCCGCCTTCGTTTGCCTGCCCTGCAGAAGAGCCAGGTGGCTGAAAAACCCCGATGGGGACGTGGGGGTTTTTTGTTTGTTTGTTTTTAATTCACAGACCCAGCACCCAAATTGCTTCGCGGGTGCCGGCCACTCGGGGAAAGCAGCAACGGATCGGGAGCTCCTCAGTCGCTGCCTGCCAACAGGCAGCCTCCCAGCAAAACTTCAGTGATTTCACGTGTTTTTTGGTGGGTTTTGTTTCATGGACAGCCGGAGAAAGAAGAGCTAAAAAATGCCAAATCGGCGCCGGAGGCATAAAGCGCGCTCGGGAGAAGGAACGAGACAGGGTGCGGCGCGGTCGCGAGGCCGCGTCTCCAAAGTTTAGCTCCAAAGCTCCCCGGCGAAATCAAAGCACGTCCGTACCAAAGCACGTCACCACTTCCAAACAGTCCATTTTTACTATTTAAAGCAAAAAAAAAAAAAAAAAAATCGAAAGATCCGCGGCTTCAGTTTGCAAATACCCGGCTCGGCGGAGGGTTTCTCGTTACACGGAGGGCCGCGTTTTTCGCGAGACAGGTTTTAGCGGAAAGGTCCATCGGAGGAGCTCCGCGTAAGGAGAAACCGCGGAGGGCTGCTCCCGCCGCAGCCCGAACAAAGAGCCGCCGGGGAGCCGAGCGAACCGGGCCGAGGCGGAG